TGTATTTTTTTTATTTAATGTAATTGTTGTAAATAAAATGGTAACTTATGTTAACATTTTAAAAATATATTATGTTAATTTTCATTATTTATTAAATATATTTTTTATTCATAAATTCCATTTTATTTAAATATTAAATATTATTTACTTAAATTGATAAAATACCTAAAAGTAATTATATATATATATATATATTTATTTTTTTATTTTTTTTAATGATGAATTGTTGTACCTGAGTCACAATAAGAAATTAGTCATTAGCCAACTAGCATTTTGTTGCATTCTCCATCAACCTTTTTAATAATGTGTTTAATGTGAAGCACATTTGATTAAACAGGGTTTCCTTAATACGACTAGTTGTTCAGGTGATCCACCATTGAGATTTTTTCTGAACAACAATGCACGCCTGTCTAGCCATGAAAGGGTGTTAATATAATGAACATACGACCAAATTACAAGCCAATTAAACACAACGAAGGGGTCAAAAAACAAGCGACGCTCCAGCGATCTGATGTCAATGATGGAGAAATCCAAAGAAAAGAACCATGTGAAATGTGCGTAAATAAACGGTACGAAATAGAAGACGAGAGAACGAAGGAGATGCATGAACACAAGAAAGAAATAAAGAGAGAACGGAGAGAGAGAGAGATGCATTCCCAATTACAGAGCCATCTGGCAGTTCCTGGAGAGCAGCCAACACCACAGACAGCTGGAGAGAACGAGCAGGAAAAATGAAAGCAAAGAGAAATAGATGAGGACAGGGAGAGTAAAAATAGAGGCACTATTAGAGAGCCATAGAGACAATAAGACCAATGTTAAGAACAGAGAACTGCTGTGCAGTTTAAACAGGTAAACACTGAGGTTTTATGAGATGGGTCAAAGACCTTCGCATCAAATTCAATTCACAAAAGTGATTTTATATACATAGGATGCATATTAAATGCAAGTGTCTACGTCAATATTTCAAATAACTTTTGTGAAAAAATTTTTAATATGGGTGAAATAATGTTCCATAGTCATTCCGCGTAACATATACGTGACCCTGGAGCACAAAACCAGTCTTAAGTGTCAATTTCTCAAGATGTTTTATACATGATTTATAAATAAGCTTTCCATTGATGTATGGTTTGTTAGGATAGGACAATATTTGGTTGGAGATACAACTATTTGAAAATCTGGAATCTGAGTGTGCAAAAAAATCTAAATATTGAGAAAATCATCTTTAAAGTTGTTCAAATGAAGTTCTTAGCAATGCATATTACTGATCAAAAATTAAGTTTTGATATATTTACGGTAGGACATTTACAAACTATCTTCAAGGAACATGATCTTTACTTAATATCCTAACGATTTTTGGCATAAAAGAAAAATGTATAATTTTGACCCATACAATGTATTGTTGACTATTGCTACAAATATACCCCAGCGACTTAAGACTGCTTTTGTGCTGCAGGGTCACATTTGTGCAAAAATGAAACAACATACTTATGTGACCATACTAAATTTTATTATATTTTAAATTATTAAAACATTTTGCAGGCAAATGAGTAAAACCTAGTGGTTTGAAGGATAGTAGCAAAGATTTATAAAGATTTTTTATATTTATGATTTAATGTCATATCAGCACTAATGGCAATATTAATGGCAAAATAAACTCTTATTATGATTACAATATCATTTCAATATATTGGTTACAATAGTTTAACAAAAACAGCCAACATACAAAAATTTACCTATATACTTACAATAACAATAATGAAAATAGTAATAACAATTATATAGAATTTTTCAATTTAATATGCATGATAAAAATTCTAAAATAATTCCAGGAGAAACCTTTTCAAAAATGTCCATTAATATATAGATTTTTTTGGATTATGAACTATTGTTAAAGTGAATGACATTTTAGTGGGTGTCGTCTGTAAATCATGGTAAAAATTTATGATTTTTTGCTCAGAAAAATAAAATAAAATTAGATTTTGTAATGTATGGGGGGGAAAACAAAACTTAAAGCTGTATTAAACTTTTATTGTTTGATGCTTGAAAACCCCTTTTCTTCTTTGTGTGTGTATGTATATATTTTGGCTCAACACACCCAAAATATTAGTCTGTGAAAACATAAACGTCTTGACAGCTTCTGCTCACCGGGATGATTTTATTAAATATTAAATATTAAAAAATATAAAACAAAATACATTCGCTTGATGCACTAAAATACCTAAAACTATAAATAAATAAATAATATATATACTACCACATAAACTACTAAAACCAAACAAAATTACCAAATATGTAACTAAAATTAAAATGAAAACAATATAAAAGATTTAAAATATTAACTAAACTATAATATCTCAGTGATACTAAAATAAGTACATGAAAATTTTGCTTTAAAATGTCTACATTTCAGTGTACATTTGCTGTTTTCAAATATTAAAATAACTTGCACCGGGTAAAACAAAAAACAAAAATGTAAAATATCAGCAAATTAAATGTTATTATAAACACTATAAACATGTATTTTAGTTTCTCTCGCTCCAGAACGAATACTTTAAATTAAACACTATTCAGAACAAGATGAAAAACATAAATATAGAAAACAAACTAATTACGGTGGTATTTATTATTAAAAAAAATTTATAATAATAATAATTTAAAAAACGCCAAGCAATAACAAATTTATTTAAAGCGAAACTAAAACTACAAGTGTGTGGATCAAATCAAAATATGTGCATTTTGCACGTTTTACGTACTTGATATTAAATGCATTATAGAATTAACTTCAGAAATAAAAGTCGCAGCATGTTTAAGATAAGTGTGACATTGTAATGATAAAATGTGACTTATATGCTTTTTCCTCAACAATGCAGTTTTGACCCACCACGACTTATTTTCAGTAACACATAGCAATATTTATGAATATTTTGACAATATTCACTGAACTCACTCACAAATTATTCGAAAACTCGAAATTCAGACATTTAAAGCTGAATCGCCATGTACTCACCCTCACACTGTATGGTTTTCTTTCTCAGAATAATTATTAAATATAATATAATTATACAATTTTAAATCATATTGCACTGAGTGGGACAGTGGGAATGTGGCCTATGAAGACTCAAGTATTATAAACTCACTTTATGGTTACTGGAAGTGGTTTAAGTTGGTTCTCATTAAGAGTAATGCAGTAAATCGTATTTATAGTCTTACATTTTGCTCTGCATTGAAATGAGGAGGAATGAATGGGTTCGATTTCAGCAGCCCTGCTTCAAACAGGAAAAGACACAGGAAGTAGAACATGCACCATTGCTCACGACAGCCCTCCAAGGCCTCGTGGGTATTAGTAGAGGAGCGCTTTGTCCATGCAGAGATTTGCAAGGGAGGGTGTTTTGACTGCATGCGCATGTGAGCATGAATGCACGGTTGCATACACAGCAAACGCTCCCATAAAATGCAAAGAGAATATATGCACACTACAGGTAGTTCACAGTATGCATGTAGTATGTGACATGAGCCCTACAGGAAGTGTGTGTGTGTGTGTTTTGGGTCAGACTGACGGCACGTGGCATGATAATCTGGACTCAGACACTAATGAGGGCACATCAACACTCACCGAAGACACAGACGACGGCAGGCCAGAAGGAACCTTCCGGATCTTCTTGGGCAGTGGATCTGAAACGAAAGCATTATTAGCAAGCCATCCAGACCACAAAGCTGATTTACACTTAAGGTGATCGTCGACGTGATGCAAACAAAGACACCTCATGCTTTTCAAAAACCACACTCTGTGTTGTGACTGCATGAGCCCACAAAACCATCATGCATGAGGGGAAATAGCACAAAATAAACCCTTGAAACGATACAACACACAATGCAGATCACTAGAGCTGCACGTTGCATTGAGAAATAATCATATATTGCGATAAGGCTTAGTGCACAGCCTGCCATTTAATAACTAAATATAAGTTCTAGAGAGAGAGAAACGTTACACGTTTTAGCTCATGATACATTAATTTTCCGTGAATCAAATCCATTTCGAAATGCTGAAAGAGCTCCGAGTTTTACTCTAAAAACAAACGGCGCATAATTTTAATAAACCATGGAAATAAAAGCTCAATGGTATACCATTTGAAAATATTAGTATTTTAATATTTAGAATTTTTTTATTTTACAGTACAAATTTTAAAATATTTCTCATTTTATTTAAAATGCATACTAATTAGCAATTAAAATAAAATGGTAATTAAAAATATAATTTAAAATATTATAAACTTATTTTACTTCAGCAACATTTTTCATTTTAATTTAGTTTAAGTATTAAAACAAATACACAACTACAAATTCAAAATTAAAGTGAAAATGGACAACAATAATTATTAAAATATTAAAATCATTTAAATAAAATGTACTTATATACTTAAACTTATTTTAGCTATATTTTTCATTTTCATTTAAAGTACAAAAAGAAACTAAAATTAAACAAACTAATAAATAAAACAAAACTAAAAACACAAAAATGACAAACACAACAGAATTACTAAAAAAGACAAAAAAACAAATTAAATGGAAAACAGAAAATAGAATTTATTCTAAAAAAAAAAAATGTCATACTGAATTGGTAAAAAAAAAAAAAAAATCCTCAAGTCGATCAGTCCTAATATGATTTCACAATCAAAAAAAGTCTTTATTTCTGCCTTTTTTAAAGTACTTTTTCATTCCTATGCAGATGCATTTAACAACAAAATTATTTCACTCACTCCAGAATGATTTATTCATTACACAAATAGCTATTCAAGTCATCAGGTGAATAAAATCCTGTATTTTTTACTATGTCAACAGAAACAAGGATTTATTTTGCAGAAGCCTGTACATCATTGCACATCAATGAGCTAGGAAATCTGCTTTATACAATTATACAGTTTAGTGGTCATTATACAAATATTGCTAGCAACTGACAAATCACAAGCAGGTATAAGTCAAGCCCAAAGCCCTGAGGTTGCCAAGCTCCTCTCACCTATGCTGGAGTCGGCGAGCCTCCGGCGGTGAAGATTGTAGAACTGAGAAGAGACTTTCATTCCCGGAGGAGAAAGGCCATCGCTAATATCAGCGGGCAAGAGCTGCGGCTAAACACAAATAACAGAGTTCAGTGAAGACAGACTAAAACCCAAAACTGCTCAACTACTTAAAAACAGTTCATTACCTGAGTAACGGGGTATCCTCTTTCAGATTTCCCTGCAAAAGACACCAGAAACTCTTACATTGAGCCAAACAGTTCAAATATTACACTTGCATTACCAATGGCCAGGCCTACAGAGAATCTGAAGTGAATTTCTGTTGTTGTTTACATTTTTGTGCTGCTGAGAAATCTGGAAATGCACTGAACATGTCAACTTTTGCATTTGCAACCCATTAAACTTCCGTCATGTGGCTCAAAATCTGAGCAAAACATGATTTTTTTTGATGAGAATAGGTAGGAATAGATTTTATACATCTACAAATGATTGAATAAAGTTAGTCTAGTTTGCCTTTAAATACAGTAACAGAGCTATAAATCTAAAGTAACATCACAACAAATGAATGCATTAAAATTTCTCCAGTCCAGCCACAGGATTTACTGGAATTAATTTATTATTTTAATTCAATTAAATTTAAAAAAAAAAATATATATATATATACACACTAATATACATAAATGAATTAATAAATAAATAAATAACACACACACATCAGGGTTATTACAATTGAATAAAATTAAAACCATTAAAAAAATACATGAAAAAATACTAAAAAATTTGGTGCCAATGCATTTCGTTTAGTTTAACCTGAAGTACTAAAATAATTAAAACCAAAATTACATACAAATGATAACTGATAAAAATAAAAACTAATAAATATAATAAATACAACTATTAAAATAATAAAAAAGACAACAACACACAACAAAAGTGCCAAAACTTCACCTAAAATGAAAAATATTAATAAAATAAATTAAATATTAACAAAACTATATTCCTATTTCAATACTAAAATAATATAT